TTTCAAATTACAACAGTCTAGCACATGTATTAGAAACAAAAAAGAACCCTCTATGTGGCAGCCAACTTCTATATCTTTCAGGATCCATTTATGTTTTGGGAAACAAGATGCAAAATATGTTATGTACAATACACATATAGGAATATACATTAAAATGATAAATGATTATTTCAAATAAACTTTACAATCAGTTTTACAGATTTGAGACCAACGTTAAGATTATGAAGAGAAATTAAAATGTCATTTAGAATACTTTTCTGAAAAAAATATTTATGTCCTAAAATCTTAAAAGTTAAAATGGTTAAAAATATGAAAATTCAGACATTCAGAAATCCAGGCAATAATTATTAAGTTATAGGTAAATGGCAAGAATAGCCACAGACCAACATTGCCATATGCTAACACAATACTCTTATTATATTATAAATCAAAGCTTCATTAGCCTTCAATTTATACCACAATATTTGTAGAAGTGCTTTTGAAAATTCAACCATCTTCTATTCTTTGCTATTCAAGTCTTATTTCTTGAAAGTAACAAAATCTTCCTCACATACAATAACAAAAGTTCTAACATATCATAAATTCCAATTTAGAATGTATTTCTGCACAAACAATGCATTTTCCTTTGAATTTTTGTTAATGTATATCTAATTATTTTATATTCCTTTAAAGGGTACCAAAATTATGAAGTTCTTGCATCAATGAATGTCTGTCAAGAACACTATGTGTTTTTGAAGTACATAAAAAATTATCAATTGCATGTAGTATGTTGAATATATCACATACATATTATATGCTACAAAAAATAAAGATAACTCACAATCATCACATATTATCTTTGTTTTCCTGCTGATTTAAAAAATTATTTGAACCATTATGTTCTGCTTCAGAAGATGAATGTATTCAGCATAATATTATGTAAAACACACATATATATTTTTATTAGTTTGTACTAACAAACAAAAATTGGATTGTTGAAAAAATTCTCTACCTGCATCACTTTGTTTGAAATACTTGATGTCATCGTTCTACAATACTTCAAAATTAAAAAGTCAAATTCATGACTGAAAATTTCATACACCCTATTTTGCCTAAGAAGCTACTGATTGCATTAAATAAACAGGGCAATCTACAACAAAACTTTGATTCATATACATCAATACACCATCAATACTTAATGCACATGGATGTTTCTAGATATATTTATATATAAATAATATTTCAGGAGATGCATATTATTATGCATTGGCAATGATATTCATTTTAAATAAAATATATTCACTTGCTTCATACACTGGTGGACAATGCCAAGTGAAATAAAATAATGGCAGAATACTAGGACATAACAGTAAAAATAATTTATTATGCTTTGAAAAGTGTTCAAGGAACAAAATGGTCATATTGTGCAGAATATGTTAAAGTGAAAAAAATACAACTACCATCTGTATGCATTTTGGCACAACATGTCAATTCAGGGTATGGTCACCATGCACGGCAATGTAAGATTCCATATGTCATGCCATACTTTGCAAAACATTATCTAACAGCTGCTGGGGTAATTTATCCTGTTTCTCTGTCAGTGCACAAATGAGGGTGTTCTTGTTTATTGGAGGGCATTGTCGACCAGCAAGACTCTTCCCCGAAGCATCCCAAACATTTTTAATGGGATTAAGATCTTAAAAATATTCTAGCCAAAGGAGGTATTGAATATCCACTCTCTCTAAACATTCCTGGACAGCGACTGTTCGATGACATGTTGCGCTGTCATCCATGAAAAATACTTTATCATCAACAGCACCATGGAACATGCGAATAAGAAGCAGCAGAACATCACTAATGTAACATTGGACAGTCATAGTCCCAGATGCAACCACATGCAGAGGTGTGAGGCCATTAATCATTGAGCCAGCTGATACCATGATACTGCATCACAAATACCGGACCTTTCCTGGATATTTTCTGCATGATGCAACCACATGCAGGGGTGCGAGGATAAAACATTGAGCCAGCTCATACCACGATACTGCATCTCAGATACCAGTCATTTCCTGGATATTTTCTGTGCAATATGCAGAACCACTATCATGCCCATCGGCATCGATAACCCCTAACAGATTGAACATACTCTCATGTAAGAACAGTATACAAGGACAGTTCTACCGAGTAAAATTATGATGCTTGTGATACGATTGCAAACAGGCAGAACATTGTTGTCTGGATAATGCAATGCACACAACAGGACAGACAGTGTATACTCCTTGATGCAAATGTCTGGCTACAGTTTCTTGGAAGATTCGCTGGCCAGTAACAGCAAGTAACTGATATGCTAACTCAACAGCTGTGTTGTGCTCATTCTTTCTGTCAATAGCACCATGTACATTGCGAAAAAAAAATTTTTTTTCTTTAAATGGGACAGCGTAAATTTATATATTGGTGCGTTTTGAAATTTGCCATATTTGCTGAAAGCGATAAAACATCAAATGTGGTTTAGACACTTTGCTAAAATTATTTGGAAGTAGAAACGAAGTGACTTTTTTCCCACTCATTCACAATGTAAAAAGATAGGAACGAGGTGCTTTTTTTTCCACTCTAGCATAATGGAAGGGAAAGGAAAATTGGTTGAAGTTGCCAAATGAATTATTCTTGGCAAAAACTGAAAAAAATTGTGCGAAGATAAGTTTTTTAATTTCTCCGTAAATTTCACACCAAATTTTACAAAATTTAATATATAGGCATAATTTGAATCATAGAATCGAAATATAAAAAAAAAAAAAATGGTATGTTATTTCAGAAAAAGTCCAAATTTTGTGTCAAAATACGTATGTCATATATAATGCTATATATAAATCTAATATATATCCGAAGTTGCGCTTTCAAGATATGAAAAATGCAATTTGAATTTTGCAATCGACCCAGTAGAACGGGAGATGTAGAACTGTCCCACCCTTTTTTTTGTGTGTGTGTGCAGTGTACCTATCTTCTGCAAGTGTTGCACTGCGAACGCAACCTCCCCTGTGACATTTGCTACACATTCCATTTGTTTGAAATGATTTCCAAAGCCTTGAAACAATACTGTGGCTGACGTCGACTTCTCTAGCAACATCTGTCATTTTTCACCCTTCTTCAAAATAATATGGCCACATGTAAAATTATGTAAGTCACTGTTTCTTAAACTGTGGGTCACGACCTGCAGCAGGGTGTCAACAAAAATTTTAGCAGTTTTGATATTTCTTTAACGTATAATAATTTTACAATTACCAAATATTTTTACACAATGTATCTAAAAATAGGTAAAGATAAGACAATACAGACAAAGAAAAAAAAAGGAAATGTTTCGATGCATTCTTTTTTATAATATAAACATTCATTTTCCTTGCTTTGCACATGATGCTGTCATTTTGTCTGTTACTTATTTACAATTTTCACATCATTCTATGTCTTAAAATTAGAAATAAAAGTTAATGACCTAAACCTGCAATAGTATATTACAGTACAAGTGAAAAAATTGACTGTTTCATTCACACGTGTGTCGGATTTGCGCAATACTTATAGGGTTCCGCAAAATTTTTGTAAATATTATGGGGTCCTGGGTGTCGCGAAAAAATCTCAGCGATAAAAAGGGGTCGCGACTGAAAAAAGTTTAAGAAACCCTGATCTAAGTGATACTGGAAAGACATAGCAAAAATTGCAAGTTCATCAACTGACTTTTTCCCATCAAATTTTCCTCTTGAACAAAGGTCAATATGCATCAAATTCTTTATTACTCTTATCAGTGCATCATGTGATAAACAATTTCAGCAGTCCAAAATTTGCATATGCACAACATGTCTTAGTCTGTACCACAGTTATGCTGATTTTCACATTTTCGTGCCTTCCATTTTGCAGTTGCTGTATCTGCTACTGTCATCCATCCTTAGCAATTACCTACCAGTGTAGATTCGACTCTCTAAAAAAATTCACAGAAAATATTCATTTTTCTCTAATATTCTAGTTTATATTTTCATTGAATGAGACAAATGTATTTAACATTTCACCAGCATGACATGAAATCCAACGCACTTTGCATCATTATGTAATTATTGCATAACTGACTCATTTTTATCAATTTCAATCCTTTCAACTTTTTTTTTTTATTAGATTGTTGAAAGGAAGATCTTCAACGATTTTCATTAACTCAAAGTGGTTGATCAATAGGTTTCCTTCTTCAAAGAGAATTTTGCTCCAAGATATTTAACCACAATTTTTATCAAGCTTTCTGTAACACCTGTTGTTTAATATTTCCAAGCAACAGTAGCTGTGAAAACTATCTTTTTTATTGAACTAAATGCTAGAATCAAAGTTTAATGAAGTATGCGTACATCAGTTCCCACACTTAGAATTAATGTTTTGAATAAATCCTTGATCTATAGCCTGGATGAAGCCTGCTAATTTTGTTGGAAGGTATGATACAATGCAGTTGTATTTTTCAATACGAGTTCAAACCCCATAACAGTTATACTGTGTTCAACAGCAACACCTCTAGGATTAAAGATGTCTAACATATGTCAGTTGTTAGAAATCCATATGAAAAATTACATGAAATGCAATGTCAGCAATGGCAAATGAAGCTATGTTTGGCAATGTATTGTTTGTGCTAAAGCTAAACTACCTTGAAATATGCAGAATGCCAACACTTACCAAGCCATGTCAATAATAAACGCCTTGATAAAAAGCAGAACATGAACACAACATATGGAAAATAAAAAGACTATAGATATTTCAAATATCAAATGATAAAATATATTAATCACTGGTTTTAGAATTTAAACAGATTTGCTTTATAAATATATTCATATTATATATTGATAATTCAGTGCAAGTATTCTTTGAATGAAGCCTTAATACCAAAAATTAGTAAATAAATAAAAAGCACTTTAAACATTTACAATAAAAACAGATAACACAAAGTGTTTTGAAAGACTGATAAATTATGAAAAATATAAAAATAAATTAAAACATTCTTGAACGATCTTTTTGTTTAATCAAATAAGTGCTGCATACCTTTCAGAAATTTTTACATTATCAAAAAATCTCTTCCTAATATCTAACTGGGAACATTTCACAGACAGAAAAAGAAAAGTAGCATAAAAAAATTCAGCTATCAATCAAAATAAAGGCAGCAAAAATTTTGATAAATTTAAGTAAGAGAAATAAGTACATAAAATCGCTTTATTAATATAGCAATTCTTCAGCTTTCTTCCGTAGAAGAGTCGGATGAACATCTAGCCATTGTAACGTCAGTATCATTCACAGTCACATTACAATAAGCATCACTACTTGAACAGCTTTCTTCACCACTCAAAGTCAAATTATCTAATGAAATGGTATTCACTTCTGCAGCCACAGTGTCTGAAGGAAGTCGAATTCCAGCAATTCCTTTTTTTGGAATTGTAACAAGATCTCGCTTGATGTGACGTCTTCGGTATGGATCACAACGTCTGACTTGAATATTTTTTTGGAAATCGATAATGTACAAAAATCCAGCTATAAGAACTTCACACCTGAATGAAAAAAGAGAAAGGATATTCTTATCATGATGAAACACTTTTGAATTACTCAACATGACAAACACTTTGTTTGACAATGTTTTAATGACACAGTAATTAAAACACGGATATAGGATGTAGAAAAACCTATAAAATTAACAGCAGGGAGAAATATCCTAAGTAGAACTTTCTAATAAGTCAGCAGAATATTTCTGTTCTGTTGATGACCTTGGCAAGAAAAGGAATTAGTGTATTTTTGCTCGCAAATACATAGATGTTTACACATACATATAAGCAAATTATTCAATATCTATAGTGTACAGTTTGATACTTTCTGATTATCTGCAACCCTCAATGAAATACTATGAAAAAGCAGCCAACAGGCAATGCAGATATGTCACCAAAATATTTATGCAGCAACCAATACTATCACTAAAAAGTATTTACATAGCACATGTCAGTTTTGCCTGGTGCGAAATATCAAGCTTGTTAATTCTGATTTTTTTTTTAAAGCAAAAACAGATCACTGTGCACAAGCACAAAACAGAAAGAATTCAAAAAAAAAAAAAAAAAAAAAAAAAAAGGGCCAATGTGATTGATTTTGAATGGATTTCTCATTGCACTACCATTTTGAATATGGCTTTTGCCTTTCATTAGCTCAGTGAAAAATTAGTTGCCAACAAGTTCAAAACTTTTCAGGGAAGAAGTACGAATAATAAAGTATCTAACTTTTATTTAGTAATTACATATATAAATTTGTATTTATTATTCTATGAAATAAAATTCTGTAAGCAATTTATCATGGTTCTTGGATATTATTAATGACAGTTTTTACATTTTTGTTTGGTACTTGAAACAAGAACAAGAGGCACTCACTGTTATTACAGCAAAATGAACCTAAAACCAACTGCTACAGCAATACTTTCCTCATGCTATTCTTCCATTTTATAAGAGAAAATGATCAGTTTCCAAGATTTTATCAAAGTCTCTATTTTACTACAGTCAAAAGTCGTTAATTCGGACACCCATAATTCGGAATGATCTATAATCCGGACCTCAAAACTAAAAACTTTCTGCGCATGCGCCGCGTTGACACATGCGCATAGGTGTTTACGCATGCGCGTAAGACCTTTTACGACTGCGCATATGAGTGTGCGCAAGTGCAGAATACGTTTTCGCGTGCACGTTTTATGTATAATGGACTAAAGCTAAAATTATCTAATTATCTATTTCAGTTAATGTAGATGATTGCGTTGTTCCTTAATTTTCGAATTGGATCCGGCTTATTATTTTTTGCAGACTGTAAGAGCAATTTTATAAAAGTAAGCTTAAACTTTCGATTATATCAAATAGAATTTCCGATTTATATTTGTTAATATGTAAAGGATCTAAAGCGAAAGTATGTTTTGAAATCCGAAATCTGTTTATCAATTTCACGCTGCTCGGCGGGGGAGGGGGATCGCCGCGGCGGGCGCGTATTGAATTGGAAGTTGATCTGTCAGCACTATCCTTATCTTCAGCGCAGACGTTTTTACTTTATTTGGCTTATAATTCCTTACCAAATGTAGTATTTCATCTCGATATGCTCCGTCTTTGATATGATTTAAAACAAGTTCCTCGTCATTATAATTCGCTTTCGATAGTGAAGAAAGTGACAGAGGTTATTGAAAACGAAAAAATTTCGATTGACAAATTAATCGGTGTTCTCGACGTAGCAATTATAGGACTTGAACAGCGGAACTTTGTAACTGAACAAGAAATTATGTCTGTTTAATAGAATTAAAGAGAAAGTATTATCACATGAAACGAAGCAAAACCTTACATTGAAAGAAATGTTTAATAAAGTAAACAAATAAATATTAAGCTTTTTTCTTTTTTGCAAATTTTGATACCCTTTAGATCATAATTGTTCTTTATTTCATAAATTACGGTTTCATATCTTTAATTTTAGAATTTCTGCATGCCATCTTACGAGATTTAAACTGATGATCTATAATCCGGAAAAATCGATAATCCGGAATCGCCGAAGTCCCGACGAGTCCGGATTAACGACTTTTGACTGTATTTTTTTAATCAAGAATTTATGGACACTGAATGAATTGCTTGTGCGTATTGATAATCATTTCTCATCAAGGAAGAAAAATGCCAGTTCCTATCTGTCGACAGTGCCAATTTCTGTTTCTTGCCACTATTATTAAAATACAGAAGTACTCAGATTGAATAAAATGTGAAGAAAAATTTACATAATTCATTCCATTTCAGAACATCAAATACAAATACAAATACAAACTTAAATTATGTGAGCAGAGTATAGAATACCAAACAAAATTACAAATAATTTTATTGCATTCATTTATTAATGAAAAAGAAAGCAGAATTCAGCATAATTCCACATGCAGTTTTGCCTGCTGTTAAGCTCTTCCAAACAGATGCATACAAGATTATAAATGTAATATTAGCACAAAAATAACCAAGAAGCTTCACCAAATTTTGATAGCATTCACAAGAAACTTATGACTTTGATATAACCTATGGTTTACAAAGATAGTCAAGTGTAGCTTTCAAGCAGTCTTCTTTCCAAAACAAAAATTTACTGCTTTAGAGTAAGGTTTCTCAAACATCTTTCACTTGTGATCCCAAATGAAATCCTTTATTCATTTGAATAAACATACCTTCACCTTTTTTTCATAGCCTTTCATTTGAAATAAAGAAATAATTTTAAAAACCACTAAATCTTTATTAGAAGATTTACAGGATTTCCTAAAAATTTACTTTTTTTAATGGTAAATCTGTATACATGATAAAAGGGAGGTTTTTATTTTTATTTTAAATTAATGCATTGCTTTCATAACTTTTCAACAAACAAGCGCCATAAGAAATGCATAGCATTATTTATTATAAATTAAAAACTCCAATCCCCTCTATTCACAAAAAATAAAACTTGAAAATTTACTATTATTCCCAAAAATTTTTACTCTATCTCTCAATGGATCATAACTCCTACTCTAAATATTCCTGTTTTAGAGGCATCACAATAATTTCCTGTAGAGAAGAAAATTATTCATCTCCCACTGTAACAGATGATACTTACTTCAAATACATATACATCATCTCAGAATTGAAAATGCAGTTGTAATATGCTGTGAAATTCACAGATTAATAAAGAATGATGGTATTTCATATGTGTTTCAAAATATTCCTTAAAAAGTCATATGTTAATAATTGTCCCCCCCCCAAAAAAAAAATAAGAGCATTTTTCAGTGCCATAAAACATAGCACATAGGATAGTGAATATATGATAAAGCATAATCCACCAGGAATCTTCAGATGACAATAATTATTTTTAACTGCTATTCAGAACCGAGTTCAAAAGAGTACTCACAGATGAGAACACTACCATTATGTAGTCCTGCACAAGAACTACAAATTGCTATATAGCTGGTCTACGAATTGCTACTGAATACTGGCCAGGAAATGTTTTATATATTCAAACAGACTTTCCTTTAGAACAGAAGAGAAACACGCCAATGTGACAATTAAAATCGCAATAACTACCTTGTATTTAACGTACATATATTAAAACACTCAATCGATTTAAGGCCAGCTAAAGGTCCCTCCTCCTCATCAGGAGAACGAAATTACTAGGAAAGGGGAAAAATAAGAAAAATAAAGCATTGGCAAAGGAATCTCAGAAACACGTGGTCGTTATCAGCACACACATGGTTGTGTAAATCTGATTCAAAAACCGGTTACGACCACGTGTGTGCTGATAACAACCACGTATTTCTGAGATTCCATTGCCAATGCTTTATTTTTCTTCTTTTTCCCCTTTTCTAGTAATTTCATTCTTCTGATGAGGATGGACTTTTAGCTGCCCTCAAATTCGATTGAGTGTTTTAATATATGTATGCTGAATACAAGGTTGTTATTGCAATTTTAACACATTCCTTTATTTATATTTGAGCAATGTGAGTTGACGACTGTGTTGTAAATTGCACAAAGTCTTCTGTTACATCGTTAGCTATACCTACGCACCTCAGCCCTCTAGCGGCATTACCTGTTACAGAACCTGTTAGCTGCAGGAGCTATGGAATTACATAAATGGGTTTCAAATAAGCCAGACTTGTTAAATGACAGTAAAACCGAGGAATACATATTCTCAACAGATCAACCTACAGTTAAAACTCTTGGTTTATTATAGCAACCTTTGTCAGATTGTTTTAATTTTAAGGTATCTGAACAGTTGTCCAACAATTTTACAAAACATGAAGTCCTTTCAACCATTACTCGACTCTTCGACCCATTGGGTCTTCTCGGGTCCAGTTACCAAGGCCAATTTCTTCAATAAACTCAATTGGGACGATCCCACTCCATCAAGCAAGTTAAAAGTCTGGTTAAAATTTCTAAAGCAGCTACCAGAAATTAATAAATTAGAAATTTCTAGATTAATTCTTATACCTGAAGCCATCATTATTAATCTTCATGGATTCTGCGATGCATCCGAAAAAGCTTTCGGTGCAGTGATTTATATCATCTCAGAGGCCACAGACGGAGCTATGAAAACACGTTTACTGTGCAGCAAATAAGGAGTTTGCCCAATTAAAGCTTTAACCATTCCATGACTGGAACTGTCAGCTGCGCTGCTCTTGGCCCAACTTGTGGCAAAGGTGCTTGTAATTCTTCAAATCAAATTCAACCACATTTATCTATGGAGTGATTCAACGACTGGATCAAGATGTCTCCTGAAAGATTAAAAACTTTTGTGTCTAATCGGGTTAAGCTGATAAATTCTTTGTGCCCAAATTTTGACTGGAGGTATGTTCCAACAATCGATAATCCTGTAGACGTCATTTACAGAGGTACCTTGCTACAGAACTGTTGAGTTTGTTCTGTTGAATTCCTTATGTTGGAGTGGCCCTCCTTGGGTGAATTTTGACATTCCAGTACCAGGTGCTTGTGCAACATCAGTGGATGAGAACTTTGAAAAAGAACTAAAACCTTCTAGCTTACCAGTTTTATTAATTAATTCAAACTGTGACTTTATTGTTAATTTTTTATCTTTAAGTAATAATTTCACTAAACTTTGTAGAATATTAAGCTTTATTTTCAGGTTTTTTCATAACATGAAACATCCCAGGGAGCCCAGAAAGTGGTAAGTTAAGTGTAGAAGAATTGAACCAAGCTTCAGATGCATTGGTAAGATTAGTTCAAAGCAATGAATTTTGTGAAGAAATTTCTTGTTTAAAGAGAAACAAAATTATTAAGAGTAGTAAATTAAGTGATCTGAACCCATTTTTGGATGAGAATGAGATACCTTCGTGTAGGTGGACGTTTACACAATGCAGACTTTGATCTAAACAAAAAACATCCCAAACTTTTGCCTTCTAGGCACAAACTTACTAAAATTATAATGGAATCCCTGCATAGAAGATATTTACATATAGGTCCTCAAACCTTATTACATTGCGTGAGGCAGGAATTTTGGCCAATAGGAAGAAGAAATTTAGCTCGAAAAATTGTAAATGAATGTATAACGTGCTTTAAAAATAAACCCAGATCCTCTGAGCAGCTTTTGGGAAACTTACCTGCAGAGAGAGTTAACCCTAGTCCTCCATTTTATAACTGTGAAATCGACTTTTGTGGCCCATTTTTGATTAAATACAATGGTCAACGCAAAGGCAAATTTCAAAAACTTTATGTCTCAATCTTTGTATGCTTTGCCACTAAGGCTATTCATGTAGAGTTAGTATCAGACTTATCTACAGCCGCATTAATTGCAGCTCTAAAACACTTTTTCGCAAGACGAGGAAAATCTTCTTGCTTATATTCTGATAATGCTCATAACTTTGTTGGGCAAATTCAGAAATAAAGAGGTTACATAATCTAGTGAGCATGAAAATTTAGCTAATTATTTAAGTTCCGAAAAAATTAGTTGGAAGTTTATTCCCTCTAGATTTCCAAATTTCGGTGGACTATGGGAATCTGGGGTGAAATCCTTTAAGTACTATTTAAAACGAGCTGTAGGCTCAGTCAAACTTACATTTGAAGAATTTTTAACTGTAACTATAGAAATAGAAGGCATACTAAATAGTATACCCCTTGTACCAATGTTAACAGATCTTAATGATTATTAAGTTTTGACACCTGGACATTTCTTAATAGGCCATCCATTACTGTTTATCCCTAAGCCCAATGTAACTGACATTTCAGATAATTCTTTATCTAGATGGCAGAAAACAACCAAATTCATGCAATCAGTTTGGAAAAATTGGTCCCGTGATTATTTAAATCACTTGCAGTTAAGAAATAAATGGAAATTTTCAAAGGATAATGTTAGTCCAAACAATATGGTCTTATTGAAGGACACTAATTTACCACCATATAAATGGAAGCTAGGTCGTATACAAGAGGCAATAAAGGGATCAGTCGGAAAGGTTCAAGCAGTTTTAGTAAAAACATCTGAAAGTTGTTTTAAAAGAGGTATCAGCCAAATTTGTCTTCTTCCAATGAATGATTGAATTTCGATTTTGCATTGATTGTAATAGTGCAATTACATCTGTATATCTTTATTTTTTTTTTTTTTTTTTTACATATTTGACATTATTCAACTAATCTCCTTATTTTTTAAAAAATGTGTATTTTTTGTCAATTATGTCAATGTTGAACTGTAATGTAAATGCAAATTTGAAATTGAAATTTCAATGCAGGGTGTATATGTTACATCATTAGCCACACCTATGCACCTCAACCCTCTAGCGGCATTTTCTGTATATACTTAGGAGAAGAATAAATTTATTCATTAGTGGAATACAGTCCACCTTTCATAAAGATTATGTTCTCTAAGAGTTGTTCAGAATTGTTCACTCTGAAGAATGAAATACAGGAATTTATCACTTCTAAAATGCCATGTTAAATGAAGCTGTGTTAATACAATATACAGATGGGTGTGACTTAGGAAATATTGTTAGCGTAGATGATGTGATGATGATCCATAATGAAGAGCAAACTTAGCAGCAGAGACAGATTAAATATTCATTCTTATTTCAATTCAAATTTGCAGCCACAATTCACTTGGCATTCTCATCCTGCCTCTTTCAAAACATTTGCATTTTTGACAATTTTGTGGAAGAAGAGAAGCAGCAGTCTATCTACGCCAAGGTACAGAAAGCATTATGCATAGTTATCCAATAGAGGCTTATAAAGAGAAAAGTTTCGGTTTAAGTTCAAAATTACTTACATCATCGTCGTTATGCAAAACATATATGATTTTGATGATGGGTTTAATCTAGAAATAATGTGGCCCATAAAAATTTATTATTTTTATAATAACTAGGGAAGTACCAAACTTAAAATGAGGAATTAAAGGGCTATTGCTAATTTAAATAATAATTTTTATTTATACATTTATCTTACATACACACATACACACCAAAGAGACATATTACATTATGACCACCCTCCATCTATATCGATGGGGCTCACCCAGGAACAAAATGGCTGATGTTGGAGTATATAAAACGGCTATGCATTGTCTGTCCAAACATAGCGCAGTTAGCAACATAATAGGAAAAGCAGCTGATTTATCAGACCTCAATAAAGGTCAACTCGTTATGGCTCGGTGACTGGGAATATCAATATCAGAAATAATGCACTTTAGTGGGCTGTTCATGTGCAGTTGTCGTGAGCACATATCGAAAATGGTGTATGGATGATGAAACGACAAGTCGCTGGCCGGCAGTGTGTCATTGATGGCACACTCATTCCAGAGGACATCGGAGATTGCTATGCATTGTTCGCCATGACCAACGAGCTACAACAGCCGAAATCACCCCAGCTACAATAGTGGAGACCCAAACAGTGTTTCTCAACACACTGTGCAGTGTACATTGCTGCGTATGTCATATTAGCAGTCAGAGGAGAAAGCATGTTCCTACACAGACAACATGTCATCGCCAGCTGTGTCTGAAATGAGCCAAGAAACATCAGAATTGGACATTAGAAGAATGGAAGAAAGTTGCATAGTCCGATGAATCATGTTTTTTGGTCCATCACATCAACAGGCATGTGCTAATATGCCGATTTCTAAAAACCAACGACTCCCGGATGCACACTTGGACGAAGATAAGTCGGTGACAAGGATATTATGATGTGGACAATGTTTTCATGGAGCACATTAAAACCCATAATCCCCATAGAACAATCCCTGGCTTCTGTGTGCTAAGTGAACATCGTTGCAGAGCAGGTTCACCCATTCATGAACACAGTATTTCTGGTGGAGGATGGTGTTTATCAACAGGATAATGCACTATGCCATAAAGGTCGAATCATCAGGGAGTGGTTCAAGGAACATTCCAGTGACTTTCAAGTCATATCTTGGCCTCCAAATTCACATGGCATTAATACAATAGAGCATTTGCGGTCCCAAATGGAAAACCAAATTCATGCTGCCATACCACCACCTCACATTGAGCAGAAATTGCAGGACCAGTTTGTGAGTACTTGGTACCAGATACCTCAGACTACCTAATATTTCCATATGGCAAAAGGAATCATCTAATTTCTAAAGTCCTCTGTCAGATTTCATTCCAGAAAGAGAATATAGAATCATATAGTAAATAGTTCATTATAGTTAATAGTTCCTGTCTGAATACCAATTTATGTACATTTGTTATAAATTCTGAATATTAGAAGTACAACATATTCACTACACATTACACATTCAACCGAGCATGTCTCTGATGAGACAAATCAGATAAGCCACATTTAAAAAAAAAAAAGAAAAACTGTTAAATATTTTAATTCAAAACTTCAAAAAAGCTTAGTTTTAATGACATCCAATAGAAGCATATGTTAAAAACAGAACATGAATGTTGCCCTTTCTTTGGTATCTGTATCACCAATTTACCAGTGGTTCAAAATGCCACATTGTTTCAATATGTCATCTACCAAATTATTCTACAATTTTCAAGTAACCAGATACTGCACTGCTTCATGAATTCTAAAAATTAACTGACTTTGGTAATTCTGGATGTAGCTACCCTATTACTGACAGAAACTAATGTTTCTAGAAACTCATGTGATGATTTATTAAGTTTACAGTGTGCACTTGACTTCAGTTACTTTCAAGATGAACTACTCAGTCATGATTGCGAAATTTGTACCGCTACACAAATGTTTTTTGCTATTTTGAACCAAGATTCAAGAGTTTTAATGCTGTATTTCATTCACTAAATTTCATTACATTTTCTTAATAAATAGGGTTGTATTTGAAAAACTACATTCTTTAATTGATTTTTTTGTTAAATGCAGATCTCAGATTTTGTTTCATTTCAAAATTTTTACTATTACACATAAGTTATTTTCCTTTTCCCACCTTCATATAATTCTTATCTGCATGATTTAAGAGATTTAATTCAGATTAAGAAACATTAAGATTTGGTCCATTTCTATTTTTTAGATATTATTTCCTACTAATTTTATATACTTATGCATTCATACTTCAAATCATTAGAAAAAAAGATAAAAAATATTGATGAATAAACACTACTTTACTTACTGCTGCTCTCCTTTTTTATAAGCAGCTTCAATTTCTGCACTTGTACGATCATCATATTGCCACCAACCATTCCTTCCTTCATAAAACCACTGGTATGATCCTTCAAAAGCTACTGTAGGCTGTGGAACAGCTATTAGTTGTGGGTTATCCAAATAATTAGCAGGAATTTCCTGTTAAAAATTAATACATTGTAAAAAATTTACAATAAAACTATGCTCTGAAAAACCACAACTAAAGTATATCGATCCTTCATTTTAACTGAATAATGCGAAAATTTTATACAATGTCAGGAATTTGGGAAGATTTTTAAAATGTTTAATTTTAAAAGTCTCACTAAATTTTAGTTTCTCTTTTTGTCAATTTTTCATTTTATGTGTCTTTTTGTTTTAAGTTTGAATTATTTTATATACTTTAATATTGACCCTTAAAATGAATTGATCATATTAATTAAAATGAAATTCTGCTAAGTCGGTAGACATACTGACACAATTTACAAACTACAGAGTGAGTATCCAATCGTTTGGATAAAAAAAAAATCCTTTTGTGTATTATAAATAATTTGGAACTACAAAAAATGTGTAACACTATTTGTTGACAATCATGTGGTGGCTGTTACTCACCATCAATTTTATAAGGTACATGAACTATTCAAAAATTCTTTCTTGTCTGATCATGCATGCATGAACAATATAAACTACAACTTGTCAGGCACTTATCAGGTAAACATGAGATGTTGCTGTATGATGATCATCATTCTTCACAGATTCTACAAGTAAATGGTTAACCATTTCTCAGAGAAACATAAATCCCCTTTAAATTCATATCATAATGTGTACAAGCAGTAATCATTATACATAAAGATTTAGCATCATTTGTTAGATTTATTCTGATGAAAAGTTAATAGCCTATGCTTTGCATAAACATTCGGAATACCATTGTTCGAAATGACACATCTTCGAGTAAGTGACCTCAAAAGATAACAGTACTGCACATGTATCATTTAGGTTTCTTCATGATGAACTGGGTGTGCGTTATACGGCGAAGATACCTAAAAATTAAAAAATATAGCTTGAAATTATAGATGCACATTATACACCAGTGTGCATTATAAGCTGGAAAATATGGTAATTTATAACCATGTTAAAAATCAAAGTAATTTCACATAAAAAAGGATCTTCCACCTTAGCTCCCTCTTTTGAAAAATTAAATATGTCTCTTCAGATACTGTGAGTAAAGCTTTTTTGTCAAACTTAGCACAACAATCTTGTATATTGTATTTATTTAAATACAATGTATGTGATATAGATACGCAAGAAAATTATTTAAAAAAATATTTGTTATATTGAATCGAAAGAGAAACATGCAAATGTAAAATTTATATCTAGCCCAAAAAGCAACCTTACATTAGATTAAATTTTGTATTAGTTACATTAGATTAATGTTTTTATATTGTATAAAGTTAGATTAGATTAAAGTTTGTATATTGCACTTGTTATATTAGATTAAAATTTTGCATAAAACTATTGATTTCAAGGGCAATCAAATATCGGGTTTTAATGGAAGTTTCCCACCACCGCAAGTATAGTCTGTGCAAACAAATCACGTTGGCATGTTTAATAATATTTTGCCAAACGATTTCTGGCATTTGAAAGAAAGAGACTTGCTTTAGAATACTGTGCTGTGAAAATTGTAAAAAAATATCGTTATCATTAAGTACATGTCTGAAATAATACTATCACACTATCAGATTAGAACAATCATTTATTTCCAGTTCTGTTGCAAAAGCTCAACTATAAATTCTCCAAATCATGTGTACAGCTTTAGGTACTAATGTAGTATCAGATGATACTGTGAAGATTTGGTACTGAAAGTAAAAAAAAAAAAAAAAAAAAAAAAAAAAAAAAAAAAAAAGGACTATAACATTCAAGAAGAACAGTGCTTTGGCTGGCCTACTGATAGTGATGAGACCCACTCACAAAAATTTGCGGAAGAAAATCGGTATGCAATCATTCAAGAGCTTCCTAAGGAGATAGACATTAGTACCATGTCCATTAGTCACACTATGCATCGCATATACTTGATCTGTCGCATGAGCTGACTCAAGCAGATAAGGACAGACGTATTCAGGCCTGGACTAATTTGCTCGAATATTAATGCAAGAGCAAATTACTGGAGTGGATCATCACTTGTGTCGAAAAGTAGATTACTTCAATAACACACGCCGAAAAGGAGTTATCTGCCTTCAGTGAGCCCGTCAGCAGCATCGCAAAGTGCAATTTGACTAACAAGATCATGCTTTGTATCTGGCGGGATTGCCATGGTTATAATCCACAAAGAGTGCCTGGAAAAATGTAAAACCCTCGAAAATAAGGTGTAAATGCTAGTCTGTGTTGATGCTGTTATCAAGCAAAAACGTCAAATTGAGTTCCAGCGCAAAAAAAAAGTAATATTCCATCAGGATAATGCAAAACCTCATATGTCTGTACTCACCAGCTGGACTCTGTACAGACATGAATGGGATCTTTTGCCACACCCATCATATAGCCCCAACATCGCTCCTTTGTACTTCTACCTTTTTCACACCTCAACTAGATCTTGCTGGTGCTATCTTCTATTCAGCAAAGGATGTCCGAATTGAGGTTGATCTGTTTTTGAACTAGTAGCCACTAAGTTGCTGGGGCGAAGGCTTTTAAAACTATCAAAATGTCGATAGAAAATTATAGATTTGGTGGTGATTACTACCCGCACTAAAGGTACTGCTTTCCCCTTTGCCCCTTAACATTATTAAGAGTGTTTTTTTTTTTTTTTTTTTTTTTTGGTGGAAAACTTGTTACAACCAGATATAAATTCCCATCCTTTAGCAGCAGGAATTTTGAATGTGTATAGCAGTTCCTTTAGCAGCAAAAAGAACTGCTACACACATTCAAAATTACGCCAGTGTAAGGTTGCTTTCAAAAGTGGAAAAGCATGAAATATAATATCTCTTCCTTTCTCATTTCCATGAGTATTAATAGTATTTTGCTATAGCATAAAAAGACATATTTTATAAATTACTGTACAACACAGAATTTAAAAGGAAAAATAACTAAATCCATAGATTTAAAATTTTCTATGTACTCACACTCAGGGTAGCGGAGCCACAGTCGGGTAGATTTTGGGGTAAAAGGAGTCAGAGCTGGCGTTGATAAAAACAGGTCGACTCGGACTCCAGTTTTTGTTGGACAGTTTGAATTTAAAATGAATTGAAAAAAAATTAATGATAAGCTGAGTTATTATTTTTATTTATGGACTATATACATTAATAAATAGCTGTTTTCTATTTTATTGACATATTAAAAAATAAATATAAGGGAGGAGGGATGTGATATTTGCCATTAGTACTTAAACTGATTCATTTAGTTACAAATCTGGCTAGCTTCTCCATAATTTTGAAGAGCTGCCGGCAGAATTGCTTCTGTTTGACCATGAGCTTACAGAATGCCTGTGTGTTTGTTAGTTTGCTAGCTTCTCCATAATTTTGAAGAGCTGCCGGCAGAATTGCTTCTGTTTGACCATGAGCTTACAGAATGCCTGTGTGTTTGTTAGTTAGATTAGTATATAACAAAACAAATGGCATTTCCTTCTTAAAGCTACCACCTCGGCCAGTTGTCAAATTTAGATGATTGTCTAATCCAAACTTTTAATCTGCAATGGATTTATTTTCAGACTGTTTTGATTATGATATTTTATCTCCATAATATCGATACAGTACTTCTTTCTGCAGTATTTACATATTGTTACGAATTTGGTATTTAAAAAGCTAATGTTAGTTCAATTATAAACTAATGGTTTTACTTCTCGCGCAGTGCAGCGCGTGACGAATATTAAAAGAAAGCTAAGCCGGAAAATTGAAAATACAAGAGCGCGTGCATTAAATAAATAAATATCTCTTTTTGATTTCGAGAAAGTACTGGAAAATTCTAGCGCGTGATTTTTAAAATCTTATAAAAGGAGGAGGAAAACATCTCAGTTCGTGGTAGTTGCTTAGTTTGTTGTTGTTTAGAAAACTGCTCTTGTTGATTGTAGCGAATTCGCGGATTAGCTTTCTTTAGCTGTTTTGAATTACGTTCTATTGGATATTTGAGTAGCTAAAAGATAACTACTGTGAGATATTGTAATACTGCATGATAATTTGAGCGTCAACTCCGTTAAGGAAGAAATGAAATTGGGCCAGGAATCCGTTAAAGAAGAAATGAAATTAGGCCAGAAATCCCTTAAGGAAGAATGACACACAGGGAACAGATGAAATTGGGCCAGGAATCCATTAAGGAAGAATGAAAGTGGGACAAGAGGAATTGAAGAGAGAAATTACTTGCATAATAGAAAACAAGTTCGAAGCTATGGAAGGAAGAATAGATACAGTTGAAGACAAAAGTTGGAGAAATTCAAGAAAGAGTTTCTGCGAAAGAGCAACAAATAGAACAAAGAGTTTTCTGCCGTGCTGAACCAACAACAAATTGAAAAAAAAAGTATGTGTCGTTCAAGAACATATCGAACAACAAACTTAGGAAGGGTTTCTGCTGCTGTTGCCAAAGAAGTTGACACTTTAAAGAAGAGCATAGCGACAGAAGGAGGAAGCAATTCTGAGGGTTTTGAAATTCTTACCGATGCCTGCTCGTCCCGTCTCTGAAACTATCCACATATGATGGGAAGACCTCCTGGCAAGTATATAGGAACACCAATTTTCTATCGTTGCGGATGCGAATGGATGGGATTCCCAAGCTAAGGCCTGTCATCTCGCCGCTTCTCTGAGAGCAGACGCAGCGGATATCCTGCAGACGCTTCCCGAAAACAAAAGGTTAGACTTTCGAAGCTCTATCCGGCGCCTTTGGAGCTGCGCTTTGGGGAGAAAGTGTTTAAAAGACTACAGCAGGCTCCAATTAAAATCTCGCCAACAGAAGCCTACCGAAACACTTCAGAGGCTCGCCACGGATGTTGAAAGGCTGTCCCATCTCGCCTTTTCGGAATGCCCGACAGAAACAAGGGAAATTCTGTCCTTGCAAAACTTTATGGATGACATCCGGGATCCTGAAATACAGAAAGCTCTTCGAATGGCAGATGTAAAGGACATAAAAAGCGCTCTGTTGTACGCCATGAAATTCGAGGCAGCCCAGCAAACAACTAGTAGAGA